TGAATTACAGTTTTATTTAATTATGCATAACACATCCATTTTTAATGTTTAATTAACGTCCTGGAGTCTATTTAGAATGTACAAAACACAAGTTTACAGGAAAGAGATAGACTGAAACTTGCCTTGAGATTTCGGTGTGAAACCTTAAGCGTCGTCTCTAAGTTTAAGTTTCAGGATTCTCTAAGTCTGTTTCCCCTTTGCTCTGCTCACAGTTCCATCCAGAAGCAACCCCTCTGTTCTTCCTCCAGTCTTCCTCCTTTAGCCTCCCAGATTATATTCCGAAACTCTCTCTGTTTTCCTCTAAAAATACTATTTCGTGAATAGGGTTTTTTTTTTTAACAGACGTAAAAGAACACACATATATATAGCCGTCTATAACACCCTAACCCTATTTCCAATCCTAACATATGACGGCTAAAACTCACAAAATAAAACCCTAAATTTACACTCTATATAAAACCAAAAACAAAATAATCCATTTAAACCATAAATTAATCAAATAATTAAATTAACTCACAAATAAAACAATTACAGTTAAAACCACAAACTAATCAGATAATTTAAATTAAAACAATTTCAATTCAATAATTAAATTAAACACATAAATAATAATTAAGCAACTGAGCAAATATAAATAAAATAAAATTCCCACATAAAACAATCAATTTAAACACCTAAGTCATATAATCAAATAAAAAAAATTAAAATAAAAACCAAAATGCAAAATTAAATTCTCATTTTGTTCTTTTGAAAACTATGAGTATTACATGTGTGTTTACTTTATCTTTAAAGGAGAAGAGAGGATAGAGCAAGAGAGAAGATAGAAATGGAGCTAACTCGATTGTAGCAGGACACTTTTACATCATTTCAAATTGTAAAAATATTAAAGAATTAACATTGATGAATTTTTTTTATAAAAAATAATAATAATAAAAATAAATAATAAATAAATACATTGGCCTTGCTTTAAGTTGTAAAGGATGTCAATCCCATCTACTCACGAACAAATATAGATTTTAGGACAACCATATGTCTTAATCAAACATATCAACTTCCTTCTTTTATTAAGTTAATTTTATTTGTATGCATATAAATGTACTAGTATATTTAGGGAGTATTTTTTAAAAATTATTTCAATTGTTTTATAATTCAATCTTTCTAAAAAATTATTCAACATTTAAGTTTTGTTATTCAGTTTATTATTTATTGTAAAAAATATATATTTCTTAATTTTTTTCTTTAAATCCATAAGAAATCTTAAAATATAATACTCCGTAATTATTAAATAAAATATGCATAGACATTGAGAACAACTTGGCACACTCATATTGAATATTGATGTATGTGACAAAGTTGTGTTAGTACAAATTTAGGTTAAGATAATGGGAATGGAAAGTGGGAAAATAATTTGACAGGGGCGTGCGAGGCTGAAGAAAGCTGTTGATAGCGACAGAGCAAGGGAGAGAAAGGAGCGGAGGGTATAATTACAATGTAAAACAAAATGACCACTACTGAATAATTTTAATATTACTTTTGAATAAACAAATTTATTCACAACCCGTGTTCATACTTTAATTTGATAGTTGATACTCAACCTCAACCTTAATTTCTTTCGAAAAATAGGGGTAAGCTTTGGGGATTTCTCGTAAAACTTGTTAGATTTATAAGTTTATTCATTTATCTATAATCTAAGTTTTTTTTATTTATTTACATAATACACATTATCATGTATGATTACACCTATTATATCATTATTTATAAGTTATTTGTTCACCACTCAGTTACTCACAACCTTCTCCTATATATAGGACCATGTTGTACTATTTACATACACTACAATAGAATATAATATTATTCTCTCTTTATTTCTAATATGGTAGTAGAGTTTTTTGATCACTGGTAAAAAGTTTTATCAATTTATCGTAGTCCCTGTTAGGGATGGCACCATTAGCCCCAATTCCCTGCAACGATCAACCATCAAACTTATGCTTCCGCACTCTAACCTTCAAACTTATTCAGTTCCATGACAATAGGGCTATAATTCCACCTTGTCAACGTTTCAACCTCAGACACAATCGACAGCGGTACCAACACATTACATACACTGCAATACAATATAATATTATTCTCTCTTTATTTCTGACAAAACTTTTGATAAATAGTTTTAGGATTTCAAAGTTATATAATTAGAGTAGTATTTCTTTTATATTAGCTGCTTTTTCTAAAGCTTCCACGAATTTATCAGATATATGCTGATTATTTGCTATGTGCGTTTATTTCCAAGTCTATAAGCATGAATGGAATAATTACACTTATCTGTCCTGAAAAATACCTAAACCCAAAAATAAAACTAACTTCTCCTGTGAGTTGTTAACTATTAACTTTGATCCGAAAATAATAAATGACCATTATACCATGATATTTTTAGAATTATAACATATGAACAAAATAGTATTTTTCAAATTTTTTAATATTATATCACGGATGTCAGTGTTACTCAAATTTGAATCAGAAATCCATATTATTGAATTTTTTTTATAAAAGAGGTAAACGTAATTATCCCAACATGACATACTACAACATCTATTATTTGGTTTATTCACATATATTGTTATAATTGCAGATGGCAGATGTTTATAGTGAAATTAATTTAATATTTAACAATAATTAGAGGCAAAATCACTAAAACTAACTAAAACGTTATCTTCAAGGGATAAGATTTACCCATCATATTCAATAATTATTGATTGAACCACTAAGGTAATTGAAAATTTGTTCCACAAATGCGAGACAAATGTAGGCCCTCCCTTTCCTACCCCGACCTATCTCTCTCCGTACTACTCAAAATTATTATTTCATTTTAACTTTTCCTCATTTTCTTTCTTACATGTTGAATTTTTTTATAAACCACACCTATATAGAAATTAGAAGACACCTTGTCCAAGAAAGATTTGTCTCACTAATTACTACCTTGTTAGCCATAGCTTGAGCACATTGTTTTGTATTAGAGGCCAAAGTAGATTTTTCATAGAGTAGCAAATAGGCAATCAATTAGTGTTATATCAAGTTGATTAATATATTGTCTTATGCTTCTATTGGTAGGTAAAATAGTGTCTGAAACGCACACCTAAGCACACACCAAGATATTCCAAGTCCATGACAAGGGTCTTCATTCATTGCCTACCTTTCCAAGAAATTTCATTATAGGTATGTTATTTCTTTTTTTAAAATAACTTATTCCATTAAATTATGTTGCAAGACCCTTGTTGACGGATGACCATTTCGTATGTGGACTATGAGCCTTATCTTGACACGTATTAATATTAATAATATCTCTCAACAACACCATTGTGATATTTTTTTTACATCTCAGCATTTTCATTTTGATCATTTGCACAAAATTTTAAACTCCCTACTCGTTTCTTGTAAAAAAATGACTATCTACGTTGTGGAGAAAATATAGAATACTTTTGAAGTATTCATGTGGTACCCTTTTTAATAAAAACTTTTCAATTCCTTTTAAATGTCGTAGATATATTTTTTAAGCTCAATATATTGGTACATAGACCTTAATTACATAACAGAGATTGCAGAATAGTCTGTTACTCCGTTGTTCTCCTACTAATACATCTAATATTATCTATATACACAGTTATATGAAAATAAATATTATGATATATATAATAACAACGAACAGCAGTTTAAATGATATGATCTTTTATATAAAATAAAATAAATAAATAAATAAGTTAAATATTACGATTTTTAAGTGCATATAACGTTTCCTCAAGATTTCTCTTCTCCGTCCATCTTCACCAACATTCACGTTTAGGGCCTTTAAGTCCTCTTTCTTGAACTAGTCTCTCTCATATTTCACGTTTTGATCAGTCACAAAATTAGTCAACTAAAGACACTAGATTAGGCTAAACTAACTAATTGATTTTATCTTAATATAAATCCTATTTGTAAGAATGAATGTGGCAGGCTTTAGACCACACAGATCATAAAAATTCATGGACCACACAGACATGAAACATCAATATAACACGTGTGAATAATTAATTTATGGTTCAATGACCCAACATGTGTAGCACACGATGGCGCGGCAATAATCATATATATCTTGATTCATACCAAATTCAAGCCATAAGTTTCGGGACAGTGCCTCTCTAGTTAGGGGTGGGGTCGACACTTTACACGTATTTCCATGTGATTAGTCCTCCTGCTTGAACTTGTAATGATTGTATTTGAATCGCATCTTCAGGATCGATGGAGCACAAAAGCCTAATAAAGATTATTCTTATTCTTTAGTTAACTTAATTGCTATTTTTTTGGGGTGTGTGTGTATACAACAGTACTTCTTCACTAAAATTCAAATTTGACAAGCTTATTTGAATATGATCACATAAAGACACCCACTTGGTATTCAAATAATATGAAAAAGTTTCCACTTGAAATCTCTGTCTGAACTGGTAGTTGGATTGGAACATAGGAAGCTACCTCAGCATTCTGGAAACATATATAATAAGGGTAAAGTTCATTTTGGTATTAATCAGAAAAACATAAAATAAGCAAAATGTTTGTAGCTAATCAATTTATTAAGAGTAATGATACTCAGTACGTTTGGACAAAATGGAGAATCAAACCTCTACATTCAATAAATATAGCATTTGATTCTCTATTTCGTTTAAACTTTTCAACTTTAAAGTCATTATTCATTAGCTAATCTTATTTCCTTCTCAGTATCACAAGGGTAATAGTGTGATAGTGTGGACTTAAAAAATTAGATTTTCAAAAAAAAAAAAAAAAAAAAAAAATTTGATTTTTCATGTGTGAAATACATTAAAACAATTTGATTTGAAGGGTAATTGAGGAAAAAGAAAAAGATGTTTTTTTATTTTTTTATTTTATCAATCTTCTCACCAGAAATTGAATCTTCAAACCTTCTACAGGTGAGAAAGTATAACTAAGAAGGGGTAGAAAAATTCCATTCACTTCCTTCCAAAAAACAATAAACAACCAAATTGCAAATGTAAAAAAACCTGCTATATATACACATTCAGAAGGAGATGGACAAAGTGCTTTTTCTTCTTTTATTTCTATATCAACGCTTCTCTAACCCTAAGTAGTCCCTCTATTCTTTTACACCCACAAGAACTTTGGCTAACAAAAGCCATTCCACAACTAAACAATTAAAGGCAAGCCATATATATTTCCACCTCTCTCCTACTCTCACACACAGATTTCACACAGTAGCAAACAACAAAACCTACTTTCTTTAGCTTTTCCACCACTAAAAAAGACTAACCCTTCTTTGCTTTTCTTGGTTTTTTTGGATTGTTGTAGATCTACAAAGAAGAAATTAAAGATGATCCAAGAGCTGTTTGGAAGTGCTGAACTAATAGGAGGAGAGAGAAAAATCTCCATTTCTGGACTTCTAGAGGGATCATCACCTTCTCCTTCTCCATCTCCTTCACTTTCACCACCTTCTTCTTCCACAACCACCACTCCTACAAGCTCATCAGCTCCCGAAAACCAAAACCTAAGGTGTCCAAGATGCGATTCTTCGAACACAAAGTTCTGTTACTACAACAACTATAACCTCACTCAGCCTCGCCACTTCTGCAAGACGTGCCGACGGTATTGGACCAAAGGAGGTGCCCTCCGTAACGTCCCCATAGGCGGTGGCTGCCGGAAAAACAGGAACAGTGTCGTCGCTGTGTCCCCCGGAAAATCTAGCTCCGGAAGGTTGAAGACAGTATTGTCACCAGAGTTCGGAAAATCAGGTCTTGTTACAGGGTTTGGCCAGGAGCTCCCATCCAACCCCGGCATGTGGGCTACGCCGCAGAATTCTCATCTGCTGTCCATTTTGAGAGCAGCCCAAAATCCAAACCCTAACCCTAATCCCATATCAAACTCTGTTATTGTGAAGGAGGAAGTTGGTGCAATGATTGGAACCCATATGACCCCGGAGTCTGTGGCTGCTACTGGTTCATTAAATACTCGAACCATCGGATTGGATTTTCTTAACCAGAGTCCTTCGATTGGTCTGTGCAGCTCTTTGTGGAGAAACAATCACCAACAAGTTCAACATCACCAGCAAAACCACCTCCAACACCAACAAAATGGCTTCATTCTTGGTGAAGTTCAAAACACAGGTATGCAAGACCTGTACCAAAGGTTCAAATCATCAGCTAATTATTATTCTGATCATTCACCACTAGTTTTGAGCAATGTGGGTTCATCATCATCGTCGTCTTCGACCATATTGGAGTCGATTCCTGCTGCCGGAGGTGAATTGGGTTACTGGAATCTTTCGTGGTCTGATCTATCAACAACCAATGGTGCATATCCTTGAGAACCTTTCTTCTCTTTCTTTTGTTCTTACTTCATAAGCTAGGGTTTGTTGTGTCTGCTGTGGTCATTTGGGTTGTGGTATATGAATATGGTACGTTGTAGCATCAGATTTTCTTTGTTGTCTTACCTTTCTTCCATGTATGTGTGACTTATTAAGGTGTGTTTGGTTCACGAGAATGTACCAAAGACCAATAAGTGTTAATTATGGAAAGTATATAGGTGTTTTCGAGTGCTTCTTGACATTGCAGATTACATTTTTATATCTTACACAAAATATCATCCGTTTTTCTTGACGGCCTAAAATTCAAAAGGATAATGATTGTCAGACCTAACAGTCAAACCGAGAATCTTAACCAACTTGGATCTTATCTAACGCAATCAAGGAATAAAAATCTCTTGACAACATTCTCAATTTGAATTTCCGTTTCGAAATAGCATTGTCCAATTTACAAATAAAATGGTTCTAATTCATTTTTTAAGACAGGTAAGTGTTGGTTTAAGTTTACAGTACTAAAGCTAAAAATTTATGAAAAAGAATAAACTATTTGATAGAAGAATATATGATCATCTTGGTTAACTCAAAAGTTTAATTTATCTAGGGTTTCCTTTTGATTGAATTTTTTAGAGGTGGTGATGGTGATAGTGGCCTGCAGGGTGTGCAGAAATGAAGATTCTTTAATTTGTTAGGAGTTGCGAGAAAGTGATGAATTAAGGGTTGAAACAACAGCCTTTGGAAAGAGTTTCCCTTTAAATCAGCACTTTGACTCATACAGTTGGAAGGATTCCATCTGCAGATTTGTGTCTGCCTTTGCCTGATTCTCCGGAATAATTGACAAGATATATATATTCCGTAAGAGAACTTTAACACCCACCACCACCACCATCTCTCTCTCTCTCTCACCCCTGCTCTCTCTCTCTCTCTCTCTCTCTCCTGTTTTCATTTAATTAATTTCAGTGGTCTGAAATGAAGGCTTTAAGTACTTTAGTTTTCTGTGTCAACAAAACACAATTAGGTATAGCAGCCTAGAATCCTTTTTATCAAGTAAATTTTTATTCAATCATCCACCACCACCACAAAATCCAGCAAAATTTAGCCAAAAAATTCCTCAGCAACACAGTGAGAAGCATTCATGACATTTAGCAAATGAATTATTTTAATTTTTTTCAATCAATAACCATGAATTCGTAGAGTTCAAAAGATAGATAATAGTTTTTTTTTTTATAAATATTTTATCCTCTTTTTTTTTTTTAATTCTTCTTCTTAAACTCTTTACCTTTCACTTTAAAAGAAGAGAAGATACTACTAGAGTTTGCTTAACGAAAAAAAAATACTACTAGACCATGGGACTTGTTCTAGGTGATGATTTAATCTTTCCTTCTGAATTTGCAGTGCTATTATTCATCAAAATCTTAACAATATTCACAGCTCCATTGCATTAGACCAATTTTTTATTTATTTATTTATTTTTTTTTATAAAAAAAGGTGACCGTTGAAATCATCTTTGAGAAGACAGCCAACAGCAATCAAACTAACGTTTTCTCGATTTTATTTGTAAGAAAATACTATTTCAGTTGTTCAAAATGAATTTGCTGCATCTTTCAACAACAACTCATTTAAGAATAGAATTAGTTGTTGCGTTCTTGATATAATGATATTGTATGTGTTGCGTCTGGATGAAATGACGGACAATGAGTGTTACTTACGCATCAAAATGACGTCATTTTGATACACCGAAAATGAGCTAGCTAGTGGATTTGGTAATCTCTTTGTAGGAACTTGTGAAAACATGTGTATATAAAATATCACCGCATTAAATGAAATTAAAGTTCAAAGAGAAGCAGTACTTAAAAGGAGAAATTGGAAAAGATAACACAGTGGAATGAAAGAAAAGTAAAAGGAATTTGGTAGGCATGAACCAGTGAGAATAGCATTGTCATGTCATCTACATTCCATATGTTTGATTAAATTGGCGTAGGTGTACATGATAATGAATTTGATTGGGGTATGAGTTTGATCCAAATCGCCAACCCTAAAAGACCTGCATTGACTTTGAAAGTACTATCAATTCATAGGTTTTTTTTTGGGTAAACCAATCTCAATTCATAGTTGAACCGGAATTGAGGCATGGCCCAGTTGTTTGATTTAGTGAAGTTTTACATTTCTGTTGCAGGAGTGAAGTCTTACATTTGTAACCCACTTTAAACTGGTTTGTTTTTTTGGTGGTTGAAAAATCCAATACTTTTAGAATTGGTCTACATTTGTAAGGTTCATGGGAGAGAGTTGTTTCCCTTTGCAGTACTGTTGATAGATGTGGTTCTTTCAAAGCTGTCAGTTTTGTTGAGGAAAAAAAGAAATTTCATGAGAGAGGTGTGTTAGGGTTTGAGCACGACATAGAATTGTCTTTATCAGTGTGAATTTAATCTCAAATGAATAGTCCAATGGTAAGACTCTTACGTATTGGAGGTTAGAAATTCGAATTCTTTGAGGCTATCCTAGAGAATTTTTAGGTAATTGTTGGTGCACGTGGGACAAGGTGATTGCGGTGATGGGATGCACCACCAGCCATCATCAGTAAAAAAATAAATAATACAAAAAAAAAAAAAGAAAAAAGAAAAATGAATTTTCATGTTGAATTGTATGAAGCCCTAGTGGGTAGTGGCTGGCCTTCTTATCCATGTGGGAAGGTTTATAATTTGAGTACTTTTAACGATACATATACTTCCTCTATACCAAAATTTTTGAGGGTGTTTAGGAAATTGAAATTTTTTATGATAGTGAGTTTTTAATATTTTTTTATTATATTAATGAAAATGAATTTTTAAATTTATCTTTATTAAAAAAACAAAGGAATACTTTGTAATAGTGCACTTATTTAATCAAGTTAATGTCAAAAAAATAATTTAAAAATGTAATAAAAAATAGAACATCCATTTTTGAAATGAGATCACATATATTTTAGGACATACTTAAAAATAAATAAATAAATAAAAATTAAAACAGAGGTGTGTATATCACATTTGAAAAAGAAAGAAACAGTAAAATAATCTCCAAAGGATCTTCTTTTCAATGATAAGGACCATCTTATAAAAATTATAAAATAATAATGAGATTTGTTGATTTCTTGTCAAGTCCAAGATTGTCAAGCTACAAGGGACCATAGCTTCTACTCATCCCATTCATAGTTGGATCTTGGGCCTCAATGGGATAGTTCCATTTATACCTAGTTGGGCCTCGGGCCTCAATGTGATAGTTCCATTTGTACATAGATGGATATTGGGCCTCAATGGGATAGTTCCATTTTGATGGACCTCAATTTCTTGGGCAGGCTGACATGTTTCAGTTTTCGGAGCATATTATTTCTCAGCCCTGTTTGTTGGCTTTGGGCCTTGACTTCTATAAGAGTATTCTCCCTCTATTCCTTTAGCATAATTTTATTTTATTTAAATTAAAAGAAGGTATATATATAGACATCTATATAAAAATATGCTATAGTGCATTGTGCAATTTTATTGTCGTAGATAATAGATTTTTGAAGAATACTTTTTAAAATAAAATTTTAATTATTTGATTGTTTTGTAATTCATCATCTTTCAAAGTAGAAGATGGATAGTTCAAATCTCCATCAGAAATAAAGCAGGTGTGTATAATTTTTCAAAATAAAATACATTACATACTTTAACAAGATGAACCAAGCAAATATATCTCATAAGCAAATATCTGATATATATATCTTACACTAATTTACCACAAATAAATTTATATGAAATTCTTAAAATATACAAATAAAGAGGCCAATATAATTAAAATGCTTCATCTTCCCCACACTTCAATCTATCTTATATTGCAGTCAAACCCTCATGACTAAAAGAAGAGAACTCTAAAAAAAGCTAATCACACACTAAGGGTGTTTTCCAACAGCTTTGCCACAAAGTAAAACATTTGAAGGGATGTCATATTCATTAGCAAGGCTCCTCACTGGATTGAACACTCTCAGATAAAATTGCTGCCCTAGATACTGCCTCTCCCATATTGCAGACCTCAAGTTCCACATTCCTTGGTTGTCCAATGAGACCAATATTGTAGTCCAAGAATTAGGATACACCTGCAAAAAAATGTAATAAATAAATAAATTTGCATTCATAGGAATGAAAATTTATAAGAATATTAAGTGACCATTGATAATGACATATCTAATAGGGGGATTCTCTGTTGTCACCAACCCTAGTTTACTAATTGGGGTGCACAAAAAACCGGTTGAACCGATAAACCGAATTAGACCAAACTGAATCGGTAGGTTTAGTTTGTTTTTTTCACGATTCGGTTCTGTTCGACTACGGGTTTTTGGAACTGTTTATAAACGGTTCGATTATGGTTTAAAATTCTACAAGACCGACCGAACCGAATCGTTTCATAAATTGAATATATATATATTTTGTATTATATAAATAATAGAATAATAAAATTAGTCTTTTAAGCACACAATTATATATCATAGTATATAGTAAAAAATTATATTATATATAATATATATTTTAAATTATTTATATATATATTAGATTGAATTATAAAAAAAGCTAGAACCCCATAATTGAACCAAACCAAACCATTTTCTCATGGTTTGGTTCGGTCACGATTCAGTTCCGTTCGGTTCTAATTTTTATAGAACCTTTAGGAATGGTTTGGTTTCAAAATATTTCTAAACCGGTCCAATCCGAACAGGATGCACTCCTATTCACCTGTCAGTTTGTGTCATCCTATAAATGCTTGAAAAAAAAAACAAATAAAATGTTACCTGTGTAGTATGTCTAGTAGGAGCGTCGACTAGATTGTAATTTTTTCTACTGGCTTGAGACCACTGTCCGGAGCCATAGCTGAAATTGTAGCAATGAGGACAATTAGAAACTAATTTTGTTTCCACATGAGGCATGAATGACAAGCAATGGATAGTGATTTACCCAACAACCCAAAAATCATAGCCATCAAGATGCCAGGATTGCATTGCCTTTTCGTTGTTTTGGAAAACAATTTCGAGGAAATCATGGAGGGATGCAGGCATGACTGATGTAGCCAAGTAAGCAGGGCCTTCAGAGGGAAGGCCTTGGATAGAATCCATACTAAAGACTCCCTGTATGCCAAAATGATCCGCGAGCTTCAGAGGAGTATCGGAGTTAATGTAAGAGACTCTGTTGACAGCATATCTTTGTTTTCCGTTGATTAAAGGTGCTGAATTAACCAACACAATTGTGGTCGTTGGTTTAATTTTTCCGTAATGGAATGAGCCCTGAGGGTTAGGCCTGGCCGCGTTCGCTGTCAAGTTCCACCTGATCAAAATGAAATGGCTGCATTACTATATGAACCATGGATCATGTCATTGATGAAAAATGGAAGTTTCAATTCGAGAAAAACCTTAAATTGATCACATTTTAGTCACTTCCCTTACTAGTGATTGAGGTGTTTTTTATGTTTAAATGGCATGTAAAACACAATGGAGTCATGTCACGGGGTTGTACCTGAAGGTTCTGGCTTGCTTCATAGACCAGTGTCTTTGGTAAGTTGGACCGGCAGGCACAGGTCCAGAAACTGGGGTTTTAGAGTTTGTGTAGTGTAGAACAGCAGTGGATGTGAGGACAGTCTTTGTGAACCGTGTGGACGCGACAATGTAGTAGTCCTTGGGAGGCTGGTCTAAGGTAACTAGGACAGACATAGATTGGCCAACATGCAGATCTAGAGATTCATATATGTTTGGAATGAGATGAGATCCTTCAACTTCAACTAGCTTCATTCTATGGCCTTGAATCCGGAAGTTCAAGGAGGTTGACAAGCCCACATTTGAAATCCTGAACATGTAGGTCTTTCCTGTAAAGCAAAAGCAATAGTTCCGATAAAAATCTGTTTTGAAATGGACTGAAATTACCAATTCAGAACTCGAGACTTTGAAAATATCCAAGAATTCTACAAGTAATACGAAGGCCTTGGAATTTAGACGCTGAGGATTACCTTGATCACCAGTAAATGAAGATTGAGTCTGGCCGTTAATAAGTACAGCATCCGGGAATGGGAGAGATTTCCCTGAATCTAGAGATGCCTGTAATGCCTGCATAGATAAAATCATTTTGTTATATGCATGACAAAAGCCATTCGGGGCCTATAGCATTTGGATATGAATTATTAAGAGAATCAACATATATAGAACATATAGAAGACCGATTTATTTGAATAATTTATATACCAATCAACATATATAGAAAATATAGGCCAGATTGATCAATATGTATGAAGTTTTAAGAGCTTGGAGCATTGCCACTACAAATCCAGAGATAAATTTTATTTTTTTTTTATTTTTTTTTATTTTTTCTCTCTATTGAATTAAAGCTGCAATGTGACAAAAAGCTCTAAAATAATTGTTGAAAGTAAATGTATATATATATATCACCTTATGGCTGGTTTTGAACCAATCTCCGATGAGTAAAGTAAAATCTGCTTCGGGTAAAGGATATGGGACTGGGATTCGAGGTCTGGCATAGACATTGATTCCTCCAAACCCTCCAGCAGCTTTGTGCAATAGAGTTGATGGGAAGTATGTGTAGCTTCCAATCTGATCTTTGGTCTGGAACTTGTATGTGAAGTTCGAGTTTGGAGGAATAGGGCAATTAGTCCCCAACACTCCATCTTGCCACGAGTTCTTCCTCTGCTTAATTCCATTCCTATTTACGAAAAACTAACCTATTAGTAAACCAGATCCTTACTCTAACTCAGTAAATCCCACCATGAAATGAACACTAATTGCAAAGAAAAATATACAAATAAATGTAATTATCTGCCACTACATTCTCACAATATTTGTGACATTTTGCATTTACAGAGAACATATGAATCCATATAATTAATGCAATCTTAAAGTCAAATTCATTGTTAAAAACAGAAGCCCAATACTAGTGTAAAGTCAAAAAGATAGATAGTAAAGCAAAAGACTCACCATGTCAAGAGAAAAGGCTGGTCCAGTTTATTGATGAGGTTGAGTATTATGTTGTCATTAGTGACCACATCAAGTCTAGGACCAGGAAATTGACCATTGATAAGAATGACCTTCAAAACAAAACACCCAAAATTCAGAATAAAAAACCCACCTCACACATTACTCAAAACAGTCAAAAATTAGTACATAAAGGGCCAAAAGTTAATTTGCCAACCTGTTGAGGGACACCCAGAGGAGAAATTGTTCCATAAGTGACAGTCCATGTATAGTATCTGTAAGGGTCCTCTGCTTTCACCAGAGAAACACTAAACAAAGCCAAAACCACACAAAACAAATGGAGCAAGACTCCGCTTCCCATTGTACCAGCAAAGAACACCACCAAGCCCTTGTATCTGCAAAAAAAAATGCCGTTATATTTTAGGCATTGTAAATGCTATAGAAAATAACATACTACATTTTCAAAGTGACAAAAGTGTGCGAGGAAAGCCGACATTAGCTCGAATGGTACAATCTCTTCTCCCTAAAGAAGAGGTTGAGTATTCCAGCCTTGTTAGAGATAATATTGCAGATTTGCACGTGTTTGCGGAATTCTCAAAAAACAACAAACATATATATATATATATATATAAACACATTCACATACACAAACAATAGAATCTTGGATAGATTTCAATTTTCAAACACAATATCACATTGTAAGAGGACAAAGAAATAATAGCAGAAAAAAGGAACAAAGAAAGGGAACATACCAAGTATTATTGAGTGACTGGACTAATCTACAAAAATGGCTAAGATTAAAAGGAATGGAGGTATCTATCTCTCTTTCTATCTGCTCATTGACTGTGAAGCAAAGTAGACATCAACCTTTCATACATATATATAGATATATAACAACACGCGTAAAATGGTTGAATGCGTGTGTCGTGTCAATTTATGTGCTTATTTTATGGCTTTTCCTTCATCCTACTTTATTATTATGTTGGGGAATCCAACCCCAAGGCCTTTGGGTTGCTGGCAATGAGCTGATTTTTGGCGCAATTCACGCGGTTTCGCGTGATGATGATGAGTTGCTTCAATCACAAGAAGCCCATTCATTTTTCTACTTTCATTCACACTTGATCACATAGATCGTCTATATATGTATATACAGACACACACAAACTATATATACAAGTATATATATAAGCAACTCATCATAGTTGTAAAAGGGTAAAAAAAAATATATATATTTTTTTAAATGGTAAGCTTTAAAAAAATAAATAAAATAAAATTTGACTTAGGGCATCCTCAAATCTCGCCGATAGTTGTTGGATTTAAATTGTCTTTTATCTTTAGTATTTGAATTTATTTAGTTATTAAAATTTTAAAATAATTAAATTCCAAAAAAAACCCTCCATCGTACAAAAAAAAAAACATTATATTAAGAGTAATGATAGGGGAACAAAAAGGAATTCCCGAATTATTCGGATTATTCGTGGTTGGTTATACTTATCACGTGTTAAACAATTATTTTTTTAGAAATTGTTTAAGCAGATGAGGTGGACAAAAACACGTTAAATTCAAGACTTATTCAGACAAATCAACCCTATCATTTTACATAAGAAAAGAGTAATGATAGGGAGACCGAAAAGGAATTCCCGAATTATTCATGATTGGCTATACTTATCACGTGTTAAACCATTATTTTTTAGAAACTGTTTAAGTAGATAAGGTAGATAAAAACACGTCAAATTCAAAACGCATTCGGAAAAATTATAACACTTAAATTATGGAGAATATATAGTCTCGTGTGAATGTGTTGAGTGCACACCGAATACCTACCCAAATCATCCAGCATTCACATTATAATTTTTTTTAACATATTATCTCTCTATTAAATCTCTATCTATCTCCTATCTTAATTAACTACTATCTACCATCAATACTTTAAAATAGAAAGACGAAAAACAAATCTTTCTTGTAAGAGCTTTTGCACACTTTTCATGTATTGTGTGAGAGCAATACTCTGTCTAAAACAAATATTCCTCCAAAACTCCTGATATTTGATAAAAATAAATAAATAAATAATGTTATGTATACTCTAAATTTATATAATTACAGATATTTTTAGAAACTACTATGGAAAGCCTACTACCAGCGGCGGAGCTAGGGGTTAGGGGCACTCTTTAGAACCTTGTGATCTAGCCTTTAAAAATTCAAACTTAATGATAGAAGTGTTTACTATTTTGTAAGTCTTGTTTATTTTTTGTTTATAGTTTTATTTTTAAAAATGTACATTAAAAATGCACCAGGACAAAAATAAAATATTGCAATTATTTTATTTATTTATTAAATTTAACTTTATATCACTATTTGACCCCAATTGAAAATTTCTACTCCGCCCCTGACTTCTACCATGATATTTCAATATTGAAGGGAGGAACCAAAAGTTCTAATTAAATAGTTATGAGAATTATAATATCTTTAGCTATTCAATATCATAGTTTTGACAGAATATTTGTTTAGACGGAAAATTAACAATTATACATTTCAGGTTTTTTTTTTTTTTTTTTAATTGGTATGTGCTAAAACATTAAAATGAAAAGGTCAAGCTTAACTTCATCTTCAAATTCGGTAAAAATAGAGTTGGAAAAGAAGCGTACTCACTTTATAAACAAGGGCAATTATGAAAATACAAGAGCATACTTTATTTTATTTTATTTATTTATTTATTTATTTTGCTATTCTTTTTATTGGATAGTGCCTCTGTCCTCATTGGACTTTTGAATGCTGAGCTTTGGAGTCTCAGCCTTCGACTTTTTACATCTACTAATTTAATTTCTAATACTTCTTACCTTATAAAATAAATAAATAAATAAAATTAGATCCGAAATTTATTGAAATTTGAAACTGATGTGAGCTTTTAATGCAGGAAAGAGAGGGATTAGGAATTTCAATTAAAGATAGCATATAGCATGCAAGTGTTTCCCTCGAGTAGTTTAATATACCTTTTTGTCTAAATTGCTCATAACTATAGCTTACAAGCTTGTGTATGTGTTTATTATACACATACATACGTATATGGGCGAGCTTTAGAAGATTGAATGTCAACATTCTCATCACATGCATCAGATCAGAAAATAATGGCAGTCTCATAATTGGTTTTCTTCTCTTGACAGTGTATCGATTTATTCTTTAAAATGATACATTCATACACACGTATATATATATATGTATTGTATATATATACAATACATACATACATATATATATACTACCCAATACATATATATATATATATATATGTATTGGGTAGGCGTAAACAAAACTATAATTAAACTGAGTGGGTGGTGCAATGTCACTGACTATCAACCAGTGGAGGTCTTTTCTACCGTCAACCAGAGGGGCTACCATGTTGTTAGAGTAGCACCATTCAAAGAAAATAATAATAAGAAGAAGAAGATAATTTGGTTTAAACTTATATTATTGAGACTCAGCCACAATGGTTGGTTTTGTTCGAGGCAAAATCCTAATGGTGGTCAAATTGAAATTTTCAATCCAAATGTAACTCAAATAATAATAATAATAATAATAAAGTTTGTTCAATTAAAACTACACTATGTTTTAAGGGAGTTGATATTAACGCTCCATTAATATACTTTGGAGTTCTATTCTTCTTTTCTTTTAAAATAAAATAATCCAAATATTCCTAGATTATACAATAATTAATTCTTATATTTTTTATGTCATAATTACCCTTATTTGATAAGAATAGGGGTAAAATTCACTCATTATTCTCTCTAACTCACGCATCCTTATATTTGATCTTCTTTTTCATCAATTATTCTCTCTAAAAACACATCCTTGTATTTGATCTTCTTTGCATTCATGCATATTTCATGATTTAGAACACCCTATTACAGCCATATGAATTTAGTCAGACAATTTTACAGCCACAAAAGCAATCCAAGACAAACTCATACTCTGTAAATGCAATTTAAGCTTTTGTTGCTAATCTTTTCACAAGATTTCGTCTCTGTAAACTATCTATCAGATTGAAAGATTTTTGTCATAAATTATTCCGCATGCGAATATATCTATAGTGCAATTGAACCTCAAATAATTTTCCAAAACAAACGTATAGATGTTTTGTATTTAAATCCTCATTTTTTTTCTCTGGAACAATGTTCACTTCAATGTGTGATCATATTTCAATCCAAGAATAGAATAGATTAAGGACTTCGATTCAAAGAGTTTAGTAACCTTAATAGAGTTATTAAGGAAGACAATTTTGGTATTGAAAATGTAAGAATCAAGTATAGAATGATAGAATGACTTTTTTGTTATCTTATTTTAGGAAAATGGAAGAGTGGAGTGGTGGAAGATATTAGTGGAGCGCCAATATCAACTGCCTATTTTAATTATTTAAAAAAAAATTTGAAACTGAAAAGTAAAAATCTAATTTTTTATTTATTTTTATAGGTTTTATATTATATTTTAAAGTATTTATTTTATTTAGAAGTGAATAAAATATTTAAAAAATGAGTTAAAATTTTAAAATCTTACAAGTGCAGTACATTGGAAAACAGAGCATGCTGATCAATCAAAGAGAGGTTAAAGAATTGGTCGAGCAATGGAGAATATAATAGCTTAAAATATAAATATTTTATTTTTATCTTTATAAAAATGCAATCACACATTCAATTTGTCTCTACAAATATTTAACATTGATCTTCTAATATAAAAATTTTAAAAGTACTATTAGATTATAACTCTTTAAAAAATAATTAAAAATAATTAAGAGCAATGTATTCTATGAAAGAAAGAAAAGAAAAATGAAAAAAGAGAAAGAAAAAGGAAAAGGAGAAGATAAAAAAACAAAAAAGCTATGCTAATGATGAGTACCATTGGGGAGATTTTGATTGTGTTTTTAACTTTAGCCATATGTGGTGGGTACCAAAGTTATTCAAAAGTTACATATGCGCGTGACACACTGTTCGGTCCGGGTTGACTTTCTTTGATATATATATATATATATTGTAGTAATTCCTCTTTTTGGATCTAATAAGAAATACCATAAGTACGATGTTTGTCCCAAATGGCCCTGGGTATTCATTAGGCTGTGCCACTGTGGTGGCTGTTGATTTTTTTTTTTATTTTTTTTTTCTGTAATTATTTTTTTACACTTCAATAATATCAAATGTTTTTTTGGACAATGCTTCAGTCTTGTCCCATCAAGATAGATGGTGTTATGCACACTAACGTGTTCCACTAAGAGGTTGACACCTCTTTTAAATTTAAAAAATTACAAAACATAGGTTATATCTATTTTTTTATAGTTAAACCCGATTGATATATTTTTTTCCTTACTCAACTTTGAATATTATTTTTAATTAACTCATGAAAAATTGTATTTTCTACCTTTTTATATTATTTTTAATTTTCTTAAGATAGAAAACTATCCTTAAAAAATTGAACTAACCATTTATATTTCTCTCTTTTTAAACTCTACCCCAATGGTTTTTATGCATGTTATATATGAAAGTTATTCCTTTTTTCACTCAGTTCTATGATTTATATCTTATTTTTATTTCCTACATACCTTTTTCTGTAAATAAGAATGAGAGCAAAAGAAACAAAACAGAAACCATTGTCCTTATTTTTTAAAGCAAAAAAAACTCAAAATTTGAACAAAATCTCTTACTCGATTTAAGCTATTTGAAAGAAAGAAAAATTACAAGCCAGACAAATATAATGTTTTAACATACCTGTTTTAAGAAAATGAATCAATCTTTGCTAAGACTAAATCGAAATCCAATATGAAGCAGAATGGTGGAGGACACAATGGGAATGTTAGGTTTGGAATGAGTGGTGGCTAAAGAAAAATAAAGATGTAGATAAAGATACACATATGGGAACAAAGAGAGGAA